TTAACTACTGTGGGCCACCTTTAAAATTCCAAAAAGGGAAACAATGTAGTGTCTCAAATTAGCCTAAGGAAAAAAATAGGTATATAAGAGACAAGGACGCCTAAAGTAATTGGGGGAGGGGAGGAAAATACAGCCCATTTCAGGTTGTGGGGAGGGGGGGAATTGGGGGAAAGAACTTTGAGTTGAATAGGAGGTACCTTAATAAAAAAGACTGCAAGATGACAACTCTAGAAGAAAGCAAATGCCTTGAAAACAACAGACGTGTTTGGAATTCTCAGAAAAGAAAATGAATAAAAGTGGGAAAATAAAACCTAAGCATACTTGGTATTCAGTCGTCTATTTCTGCCGTCACATCTCTGGAATTCATAGGCAAGACAAAAGGACAATAAAAAGAAGAGGTAAAAAGCTTTTCAAAGACAGCTTGCAGAACTATGTCAGAGCATGCAACACCACAAGAATGTACGAGAATTAAAAATGTAATCTAAAAAGCACACTTACGATATACCATTGTTTTGCACATGAAATAAAAAGCTAAATTCAATGAGGAAAACCGGTTTGGAGGGCGCAGTTCTCTTCAAACGTCACACTCAAATTTTAAAAAGACTAACTCTCAGATCAGAAGACAAATTAGAAGAGATATTTGTGGATGTATAATCCTTTTCTTCCTTTCTGATGTGAAAGGAAATTCTCTTCTTTCATTTAATTGTAATGCTATGAAATATTTCAGCTGTGTTTGAAGGGAAACCTAAATATTTGATGTCATTAGTCATTTTTGATTACTCTCAATCCCAAGATTAAAGCACATTTAGATAAATATGATAGGATTATCAAAATAAAGTGCTTGAGAATTTAGCATTCTGTTGCAAGCAATAACAACACCACCACCAAAGCAGCACTGGCTTAGACAACAAAGGAAATTTTCTGATATAACTTCTGTGAGCCTCAGGCCAGCTCGTTCAAGGACTCACGTCACCAGCTCTCATGTCTGTCCTCTGCCTTCTGTGGGTTTGCTCCACATACAGTCTGGCTTCGCTTGTGGTAGTGAACTGGCTGCAGTTGTTTCAGGCCTAGCATTCTGCACACCGCCAAACCCAGAGGAAGGGAACAGGAGTTTCCCAGCACCTCTTGCTAAGAAGGGAAGCTTGTTTCCCAGAAGTGCCAGCAAACCACTTTTTGCACGTCATTGGCTCACCTGGGCTACATTTCTGCCATACCCAACCCTCTGGCTTTCCTCCACCCTAGTCCTCTAATTGGTTTCTCCTGAAAGCACTATTTTAATAGGTCACTTGCACCTGAATTTTTCACTCATTAGCTGCTTGCAATGGAATCCCCCATGCGACACAAAGGCAAGCACTGAAACCTCATGGCAGGTTACCCTTGAAACCCCTGGGCTGTTTCCTCCCACCCACCCTGCCTCCTGCGTCTGCAAAGGCTGGCACGCCCCACCGTGAGCAGGATGCCTTCTTACCCATCCTCACACGCGCTCTTTGCTGCGTTCTGTGCTCCTTCTCTCCAACCCGCCCAGCCTCCCACTCCTGTTGCTCCTCTCAAACCTCTTCACTGCATTCCCTGAAAACATCACTCCACAATAAACTGTCCTTTACCCATAACCTGCTGAGATTCCTGCTGCCTTCCAGCCTCTACTGGAACCTGATTCTTTCCCCAAAGCACGCTTTCCCCATCTCCTTTTTCTTCAAAAGAGTTGCTCATTTTCCCATCTTCTCTCCACACTGGAATCTGGAAATAAAGCCAGCAATCTCCATGTACAGCCGTGCTCTTTCCCTGCCATTGCTTCTGGGTCTTTAGGGCTTCTACACCTCACCGTGGGAGTCTAACTGCTACCCAGGACGGTACCTAGCGAGTGTCAGTTTAAGTATGTAAGCTGGATGGGGTGTATATGGATGTGTTAGAGTCTTCTTCTTGCCTTCATAGGTCCGAGTGTTTAGGAAATACCTGTGCCCTGGTCATCTCTCTGGGCTTTTCTATGCCCCTCCTCCCTCTGTTATCTATTAAATCCTGATCAGCAAATCTGAACTCTGTGAGGGAAAAATCAAGAACCTCAAAACTAGTCACTTCTACTCCACTCAGTTTAGCATTTCTGTGGGTGGATTCCTGCCCTTATTTTCCAAAACTTTCAGCTCCACCCCTCAACCCTCAAACTCAAAACATCCTACCCCTATGGCACCTGTTATTATCCTAATAATTCCTCTCCTTTCTCCCCACCCACCACACTAACAATATTAACATTTCCCAATTCTGACTCCACCAATCGGCCCCATTTTCACTTACGCTATTATATATATTAATAACATATTATTTCCTAAGTCTCTTACAAAAACAATTTAACTTTTTGAGATTTTTTTTTAAAAAAAGATGAAACAGTTTTCTTTTCCTTATCAAATTGATCTTGATAACTACAGAGGTGCTAGTTTAGTATGCATGTTATCCAATGAGTCATATGATTTGTTAATTTGTAAATCTCTAAAAGAATGTTCAGTAATTAATGTGATTACTTTATTAGAAGTGATGTTTAGACCTTAGTGTCCCATAGATAGAAATATTACCAAAATCAGCCTTAGTGACATTGACTTTGTATAGCTGACAGGACATCATAGTGATTACAGTTAAGGCAAACAGAAGTCGGAACAGAAAGAGAAAGCAAAAGGTTTTTCTCTTCACAAGGTGTTCTCTGTGATGGCTCTAATCGAGGTTAAGTTAGATAGAAAAGATCTCATTTCTCAAAGATGTTGTCTAGGACAGGACCTGAGTGGCCTTGGAGAGGACATCTCACCCGAAACACAAGTATTAAAGTAAGAAAGCTGTGAGTGTACATTAGCCTAGCTCCAGATTGTATCTTAACCTTTATTGCTTGGGGACTAGTAGTTTGAACTCTAAATGGCTGGTAAGGAGTGATGTACAAATACAGACTGTAAAATTCCAAGATCAAGGGCTAAGGAAGAACACCCCCCCCCCTTACTCATAATTTAAAAGTGAGCCTTTGAAGGGACATTTAACCATTTTTACAGACAAAAATTCTGAAACTGAAGCTATTATAAGAAGCTGCACCTGCTAGCCACATCTTAGTCTCCAAAAGAGAGGCATGCAATAGAGTACAGTATCACAGAGACCTGCTAGAAATGGACACCTAGAGAAAAGGAAGTCTCCAAGGCTAAAGTCTATGCTCATGAAAGGTGTGTATATATTAGAAAGACCATAATGTATTAGATCGGAGAATGCAGTGTTTATAAAAACCAGCAAAGCAGGATTTTTAGAGTGCCTGTGTTTATGGCCTGTTAAGTGGAATGGACTTGGACCCTTGCTTTCTTTTCTGTCAAAGTCAGGTTAGAGTCCTAGAACAGGAATACCTACTGTCCTTCTCAACTGCAGAAGGCTAAGGAGGATGGGTTTTCTTGAGTTTGGTCTTTGTAGGACTTAGAAGAAGTAAGGCAGTAACTTGGCTCTTTGGTAGCCCCTGGGCTGCTACTATGTAGACTCTTAGAGAAGGGATATTCATTCATACTAAGCAAGGGAAAGTTCTGCATGTCTGAAGTAGAAAATCAATTACACAGATTCATTCAAAACCTCAGAGAACAGGGTGCTGTTATGTAATAGTTCAAAACAAAATCTCCACTCCCAGGCAAGTTTCTGGGAACGTACTTGGCATCCTCAGGAGGGAAAACACCTTTATTAATGCCTTACGACATACACCTGGTTACTGCTGACCAGAGCAAGGAGGAACTGCCCAGGTTCCCTGGATAATGATCAAGCTGTGATCTCTTCTAATTGTCTGGAGGAAAACTAAATCCAGGAATTGGTTCCTTCCCCAGCTCAGGCCAATGGATAGTACATGCTGGTGGGCCACATGCTGAACGTGGGCATAGCCTTTGTCCACAAACTTTACTTACTTTAAGAACCATCACACTTTTAGGCCACTCAATATCAAGATATAGAAAAAGATTTGTCTGCCTTTTACATATTTTATATTCTGAAATAATATTTATTAGACACTTTCTACATACCGGGCACCTTGCTAAGCACTTTAAAACATTTCATTTAATTTCCACAGCAAACCTAGGAGCTCCCATTAACCCATTTTACAGATTAGGAAACTATGGCTCAGAAAAAAGTACACAGCTGGTTAATAGTACAGCAGGAATTCACACCAAGGACTATTTCATTTTGGAGACTATGATCTTGACCACTACACCTTATTATATCTTTTAATTAAAATATGCTTACAAATGTGGGATATGGTATCAGTTTACTGTTCTGGACAGAAATGATTTCCTCCAAGTTTCTAGGAAATGCAGAAACCCAAGTTTGCTTTGTCAGGTACCAATAACACCAAAAACTTAAATTATGTCTTAGCATTTTTTTTCTATTGTCCAAAGTCCCAAACAGAAGCCTGATGAGAATTAAATCTTAACTTTTTGAATACTTTTTTAGGCATTAAAAATTAGATCGACTTAGTGATTCTCCCTGAGGCAGTAGAAATATCTAGAAAACTTTCTTGTTTTAGAATTCAAAGATTGCTTGATTCTTCTGCTAAAAACAACCCACTACTACAGTCCTTTGTGTTCTTTTCCACCACAGAGTGGGGAGAAAGTGCATCTTTGGGGCAGCTAACAAATCTTTGTAGTGTAACCAGATAAACAATTATTAGCAAGAATATACTCTCACAGATAAAAAGTCCCAGAATACTTTTCAAAACAAACATTTCTCATCTATTCTTCACTATCTTATCAAATAGTAGGACTTTTCCTCATATTTGCTAAGTTCTTCTATTTGAAATATATCAGCATGATCCTTCAAGACAACCTTTTACGAAGCATTTGTTTTGCACATATGCACTTTACCTAATATGTGAACTAAATCAAGTTAAAAGAGCAGTCACAATTTTTTCCTAACAGAAAAATAAAATGTCAAGTAAAAACCATACATATTTGATTTATTCATGCCCACTTTTAAGGTCTAGGTATAAAAAATTTAGAAATCCTTACCTTAGAAATCCATATCTTCTAGTCAAATGCTAAGGAGGCCATAGAGAAAACATTGAACTCAGGCATGAGGAGGAAGAATGATGACTATAAGTATGAGTGTCTCAGAGAGTAAAGTCTAAAGTATGTTTGATTATTTGTCTATAACAGACCAAGAAACCCATGACATCATCCAGGACTCCCTCCTTCAAACTAAGCCCCACCCATAACTGAGTCAGAACAGATTTTTAAAGTCCACAAATCAGAAGGTGCTGTTCTAGATAATACAATGGATCAGCTGGGCATTGACCTATGGGGGTGGAACACTCTGGTTTCCATGCTGTGGGTCAGCCTTCACCATGAGTGTGACGCAGGTAACTTCCTTAAGGTGGGACTGCCTGCCCTTCATGCCCCCCGCAAACCTGTTAAGTTTGCTGCAGAGTGGTAAAGAAAATTGTGCAGCTGGTTTCAGTGGGTGCTGACACTTCTTCAAGAAAGAAACATAACCCTACACAAAGTCATAGTTCACTTGCACCTACAATTCTCATTGTAGTTCTGGTTGTTAGGACACCAAGCTTAACAAACTCAGCTTCCGAGAAAAGCCTTCTTTGTAAAGACTTCCCTGAACTCCACGGGAAGATCTTAGCAGTGCTCCACCTTTATGCTGTTATACAGCTTAATCTCTCTCCCCCACCCCTTTGTGTCACACACATGCCAGCACACGCAGTAGTATTGTAGCTAGGAGAAAAGCTGGACTCAGCCTTGTATCCCCAACAACTAGCATTGTGACTGCCACATACTAGCACATAGTAGGTGGTCCATATTTGCTTGTGGAATGCATGGGAATGAAAGTTACAAAGGGAACAGAAAAGTACTTTATGAGGACAATGAACAGGATGCTTCTGTCTGGATTGAAGAATGCCATCCAAACTTTAGCACAGCACACAAATCCCTTGGTCATATGATCAGAGGGCCCCGTCTAGCATTTGAGCCTTTGTGCATTACTCGCCACACCTACTTTAACCTCCTGCCACACCTGGACTCTCAGGAGAGACAGCAAGGTGCTTTGGGGGAATTCCTCCTCCCTTCTTCCTCATCTCTTTCTTGACATTCTCCTTCTGCTCAAAGAGTCACCTGGAGTCAGCCTTCTACTGCCCACTAAAGACCAAGTCAGAATCCCCAAGGCCCCCCCCTGCCCCAGAATCCCCTAAGTCACCCATGCCAACCTTTATCATTATTTATTAAGATCTGTTGTGAAATAAAATCCAACTGGGACTTTCTTTTTTTTTTTTTTTGTATATATATTTTTAGTTGGCCAATTAATTTCTTTCTATTTTTAGTAGAGACGGGGTCTTGCTCAGGCTGGTTTCGAACTCCTGACCTCAAGCCATCCGCCCGCCTTGGCCTCCCAGAGTGCTAGGATTACAGGCGTGAGCCACAGTGCCCGGCAAACTGGGACTTTCTTAAAAGATGCAGGCAACCTCAGCCTTTACCTATGAATTCCCAGGGCCATGTGGTTTCTGGTGCACCGTGGCTACTCTAAGTTTAGTTTAGGGAAATAGTGAAGATCCTGAAGCCATGCATGTGGAGAACAGACTCTCATGGAATCTCAAAAGAGAAGAACAAGATATTTGAAGATATTTGAAGTTTTAGGATGAAATATCATGATGTACAAAGATATATGTTATGTAGAGATTGTTCAAGCTGAAGGTAAAAATAGAACTAAGGTTTCTAGAAATATCAATGGCTAAGACATAAGGGTTTTCTGAGATTTATGTCACAGCAAAAGTTACCATGAAATTTATGCCACCATTGAAGACTAGATCAACGAGTTTAGAGTTATGTACCTTTCCCTTGCAATGTATTTGTCACTCCCACTCCAGGAAGGGATACCTGAACAGAAGTAGGATGACCCATTAGGACCCCATGTTAGGAAAGCCTATAGGGTCACTGCTGCAGGGGTTCATTTGTTAGGCTTTGAGACCTGTTACTATTAATATTTCAGTGCTAGCTTGGGTTCTCCTCTGCAAACTTCCTCCATAATGTCTTCAAGTGGCTGGGAGAAGAGATGGTGTATGGCATATTGTTAACTGTGATTATATCCATCATGCATACGGATCTACACTAAGGCTCACAGGAGAATTTAAAGTAATGTTGGCATTTAACACTTAATAAATTTGCAAAAGTTCTGATGAAATTAAAGTATTAATATAACCATCATGTAAGTTGAAGATGGCAAAGGAGTTAATGGCTAAATCCTAGGAGATGAAATAAGGCTGAAATTAATAACCCAATTTGAGTCTTTCAATTGTCAAAACACTGTAGAAGAAAGTGAATTGAATTCTAAAGCTGAAAGGTGGACAGACGGTACTGAAATATAGATGACCTTAAATTGGTCTGAGAGGCAGACTAGGCATTATCATATATTAGGCATAGCTGAATCAGTTCAATCAATATTTATTTCTAGCAAGAAACAGTCTCCTAGTATTCCAGCTAATAGAACACTCAAGGTGTTAAATCCACATATTTGTTTCCCAAGGCGCTAAATGTGGTGCTTATCACCATTTGTGCACGTCCTCCTTTCCTGGCCCATTGTTGCTGTGAAAGAAAATGAAGTAATTGAGGCCATGGCTTTAAAGTGGAGTAAGGAGCTTGCAAGAGGATTGCACTCACAACTTCTAAAAGTCAACCCACAGCCTGCTTCAATAAACCTGGATAACAGCTGAAGTCGGTATCCACTGGCCTGCAGCATCTCTCACCTGGGAGTGCTCTAAATAACCAACCAATCAGAGTGGGTTTGCGATTTAGGATTTCTGCCCAGCCAATGAGTTGCCTCCAAAAACAACTTTTTGTGGAAATCCTCTATAAAAAAATATCTCTTGCCTTTGCCTTACAAAACACTATTCTTTGGCTGCCCTGACTTAATATACCTGAATTGCAATTCTTTATTTCTCAAATAAATACTATTTTTCTTGACCTCTGTGTCAATTTATTTTTATTTATTTATTTTTTTTAGTTAACATAGCTACATAGCTGCCATATCAGTGCAGGGGCTTCCTATGGCCTTCTACATGCATTGTGTGACCTACTCTTGCTTCTCTGTTTTCCTGGTATCTCTACATGTCTCAGGTCTAAAATAGCCTCAGCAACTCTAAGTTTTGTAGTGAGTTATCCTTTAAGTTGCTTCGAAGTGCTTTTACAACTCTCTTAATGATCACTCTGGGGAAAAGGTAGGGTTGGTGATCTTCCTGACTCTTTTAGGATGAGGAAAAAGATGCTAAGAGTGAACAATGATGCACCCAATGGATAAGTGTCAAAGCTGGGCATTATGTCAGACACCTGCCATGCCCCTCTCATATCCCCTCAGCCACCTTTTTGCCCTGGCCATTGTTGGGTCGACCAGCTCTACACCGCTGCCCTTAACAGCACCTCATCCCAGCTCCACTGTGCGTGTTGTCCCAGGGATTCTCTGCTTCCTAGGGAGACTCCCAAAACGGAGAACATAAACACCCACCAGTGGCAATTTTAGCCTGTGGGGCTTGAATTGCTCCTCTATTCTGTGTCTCTGTCCACAATCCTAAAGGGTCTTCTACAAGGTTCCTTAAAGTGTCCCCACCAGGACTAAGCCCCAGCTGTCCACAGGGACAGCCAGCTGAACAACACACCCTTGGGCTAGCTCTCCCTCCTTTCTGTTTCACTCCTCTCAGGGCCACCTCTTCTGTTCCCTAAAGCCACTTCCCAAAATAAAGTATTTGCTCAGAACACTTATCTCAGGCTCAGCTTCTTGGGGGAAGCTCAGTTAAAACAGGCTGCAAACACATTTTTTCGATTTTCTGGTTCATTCTCCTTATTATCCCATTAATCACCAGACCTAAAATTCAATACTCATCTTTTTTCATTTCTAATCACAGATAAACAAAGGCTATAAAGGCTTTAAGATTTAATATTTGAATATAAAGTATAATCTCTTTATGCTCTGTATGTCTTGCACACATTAGATGCTTAATAATAGAAAACTGTGGTTACCTTTAAGATAGTGATTGTTTAAGAAGGGTGCATATGTAAATATGAAGAGAAACATACAAGTTGTCATTGTACAATGAGAGAGCCTGAAGTAGCTGTCTCTACACAATAATATTTCTAGGGTCAGTCTGTAAAGCTCCCATGTCTATAAAGCCTCCTGGCTGGTATCTGTTTACACTACATTTTCTAATAACCAGTAAGCTTTTATTCTTATGGCTTCTTATTTTAGATATACTGATGGCTTATTTTAAACAGCCTCACTAAGGGGCGAAAACAGAATGATGTCTTTAGAGCTTTGAGGGTAAAATCATAATAATATCAATATTTGCCAGTTGTGATTATATATACATATTAATGGGAGTTTACCCTCCAAGAATTTAATAAAGATGGAGCATGGTCATTCATATTTGTTTCTGGTACAATAAGGATATGGAGAAAAAAATACATAAAACCTCTTAGATGAAGTGCCATATTGCTATCAGGATACCAGCATAAGATCAAGAAAAACCAACTGCTGAATATCAAACTATTCTTGATTTGGAAAAAAACAAATCAAAATATAAATAATAGTCCGAAGAGGGCAATTCTATTCAGTTTGTGCAGACTATCAGACCAGTTGACCACACTGCTCTGACATAAAAGCCAACAAGTATCATTTTATAATAGTTGACAGACACCAGAAAAATAAACATTGCCATGAGGGTTTGTCACTAAATATTGAAATGTAGTGTGTGTATATAAATATAAATAAATATGAAGAAAAGAAACAAAGACCCAGCTTCTGTCTCTTAGATATATTAACTGAGACGTTTAATACTGTAAAGCAACTGATTGAGTTTATTTCATGACTTTCCTAAAGAACATACATACAATCTATGCAGAGTAGCCAAGGAGTCCATTTCCCTCAAAGCATAAATTAGAGATACCTATTTCCGTTACTATTCTATAAGCTGAACACCAGAATTATCCATGATTAATAACTTGATAAAATTATTAAACATTTTATATAACTGTAGTTTGTTGAAGCATATTTCAGTTGAAACAATTATAAAGTGAAAACTTTTTCCATATTGCTTTTAATTAGGAAAAATA